ACATGAAAATAGAGTCGAAAACAAATGAGAAACAAAAATTTTATTTCCAATTAACGATATTAAAATTTCGAATTCTAAAAACTCTCGAAAATTTTTATAATTGATTCTTTTTCTCAAATATCATCGATCATTTCCATACATGAATCAGAATACCATTGTGTTATTTCTTCAACAGATGCAATCCATACACTTAGATTAAGTTTAAAAACACAATTTCTTTGAAAATTAGAAAAATAACGTACCATGCTTCTTGCAAACTGCCCAGTTGCTTACTCAACATGATCTAGATGGATTGAAGTATCTTTTAAATCATATGATAAAGATTATTACCGTTGTGGATGAATCGAACACTTCACACTAATGAAAAACATTGCGTACTAAATACACTTAAGATATCATTGATCATTAGAATAAAAGTCGTATTATTGCTTGTACAATAACAAAACACACAAAGGCACATGTTCATGCCAAAACAAAGAAGAATAGTGTAACCATGAGAGGGTTCTTGGTACGAATTTTGAGTAGAAAAGAGCAGCTATAACTCAAAAATGAGCCGGGAAAAATCAGCATAAAAACTCACGAAAGAATTAATTGAATGTGTGATTTCGGAGAAAAAAATAAATGAAGTTTTTCTTTTTTTAAACTGTAATGACAGCAAAAATCAAAGAAATGAGGTATTTGTGACTCATTACTTATAGAGTGCAATATTTCGAAAAGTAATTCATCACTTTTTTTCTCTTGGTTTTCTACAACAAGGTTACCTTCAATAGTCATTCATACTTAAAAATAATAGTACATTTAGTTGTTTATTGGGAATGAATGGTACAAATGAGAAACGTCGTGCCGTTGAATTGGTCTATGGCATCAATCTTAATGATGACTAAAATGACTACGTCAAAACTATTGGTATACGACAAGCTGTCAAATTCCTTAGAATTCAGAATCAGTCATGAGGTGTTAAATGGCAACAACCGAAGCTTATCGATAGTGATATAAACACAATAATCTTTAGAGGAAGAAAGAAAAAGTTCAGCGGAAACTATGAAGCAAAAATTAAAAAGCAGATAAAAACTAGGGGATCAGCGAAACAATTCATTGAAATTCTTCATGTAATACATAAAGTCAATTCATATGATGTTAATACGAAACCGTATGCTGTCTCAAGAATGATGAAAATGAATCGGATATGTTAAAAAACAGCAACTTGAATTTTCAAAATCGGTTCAAGATTTTCAACAAACGGGGTGCTGGTGTAGGTTTGAGTTTTTTCGATATGACCATTCACATACCAACACTCACACACCTTTAAAAACAGCTCTGACCAACTAGAAAACAACATGTTAATTTTTTCTACAAAGTAGCGGTGGTGCCACAGGGTGAGTGAGGACGGGCTGAGCCTCCCCCCTTCAAAAAATCTGTTTAAGACCCTACGAATTTTTTAAAAGCTTTATAGAGAATCGATAATTTTTCATAGTGATATTGCAACAAACTGTTTTCTAAGCTACAGAGATTTTGATCCGTTTTCTATTGATTATTCGCTGCAACCATATCGAATATCACTGTCTTCTTGCGGCTAAATCACAATCTCATGAAAGGCATGCTGACAAACGTGGAACTATAGACTCCAATTTTCTTTCTTCTAACAAAAGGCCACGTAATGATAAACAACAAATACAATCGAATGTTATTCTATGTATCATCATCTTCTCTCACAGCCATCAATGAATTTGTTGTTGTTAAACCTCTACTTGGATCTAAAACGGTTAATGATGTTATTCAATTTTTAGATGAATTAATTCCAATGTCCAATGCATTTCCAGAAACATTAAGAATGATTAAAAATACGATAACATTATCAATGGCAACAAATTATTTGATCTGTAAAATGGATGAAAGTACCAGTAAAAAAGTATATAAATGATCAGTTTAAAGGTTGAATGATCAGTTAAGATATTGAATGATCAATACTTAGATTACCAGTAAATAATATGAAAATGATCAGTTTATTATACAGAATAGCAGTAAAAAAATATCAATTGTACCAGTAAAAAAAAGAAATTTGATAAGTAAAAAATGAAAATTTGATAAGTAAATAAGACAGATTTTACCAGTAAAAAAGATGAAAATATTGGCAATGTGTAATATAGAATGAGGAGGTTGTGGGTGTGGATATTTAAACATTATGATACTCACACCCACACCCGACCATGCGTTACTAAGTGATGCTTCGGCTTCACCAGCATTATCAAACACAGCTTCTTTGACCCAATATTTTGTTCTTTTTTTCTTCTTTTGAGGTTTTTCATTACTTTCTTTATAAACTTCTTCATCTGATAAATCACTTACATATTGAGCAACCTGGATTCCTTCCATATTTTTTACGTGTTAACAATATGATAAACGTGAAGGAACAAGAAAAAGAAAAGCATATATATGTTACATTGTGTAGATATAGGTCAACGAAGAAAAAGAAAGAAAGACAACAAACCACAAAGTGATTCATCTTGTCCTACTTTTTACTTCTCTACTGATTCTTTGATTTAACTGACTGCTATATTATTTTATTTACTGATATTCAAATTTTATTACGTCACCTTTTCATTTAACAACTGATCATATATATAGTTTACTGGTACTTCAATATATAACTGATCATTCATTTAATCAACTGATTTTATAATATTTTTTCCTACTGATCATATCATCTATTTTACTGATCACTTAAATCCATGCCATTATCAATTTCATAAGTAATTAATGAGAGATCTTTCTCGAAGATGGAGATAATCAAAAACTATCTTTGAAATACAATGATTGATAGACGTTTAAGTGACTTAATAGTATTGGATGTTGAACGTGATAGTAATAGATAAATTTTCAAAAGATCACAAGAACTGTAGGATTGTATTGCGTCAAGTTGTATCGTTAAATGTTATCAATAAAGATAGCTGAGTTCTCTGCACATAACTGTGGATGCTTTATTCATGATATAGATCAAATAGCATTCCTAACGAGTCAAAAAATTCGAAAAACTTGCACTACATATTTTGACGGTTTGGGAGGTGAGTAGGCATCTGCAAAGTGGTCCCGGTCCCGGTCCCGCCGGGACCGGGACCGGGACCGAAATTTTTAAGCTAGTCCCGGTATTATTTTTTATCAGAAACTCGATTCTGCGTTTAGGTATTTCTTATATTTTTGTGATCAGAAATCTAAAAAAACAGCAATTTTCTTTACAATTCTGATAAAAATTTTCATCGATCCTCGTTTCAGTTTCAAGAATCGGAATTTTTTCACCATAATACAAATTTTAACTGACATCAAGTCCAGACCGGGACCGGGACCGGGACCAAAAAAAAATTTGGGCCGGGACCGGCACCGGGACCAAAAAAAATTTGGGCCGGGACCGGGACTGAAGAAAAATTTTGACCGGGACCGGGACCGGGACTAAAACATTTTTCACCGGGACGGGACCGGGATCGGGACCAAAAAAACTGATTTTGCAGATGTCTAGAGGCGAGTCTCCTCTCCTCCCCGGAATGAAAATTGCTGGTGCCGCCTCTACAACAAAGTATATTTCTTACACTCTGATTTTTCAACAAAGTATATAAAGCAATGTGTATTTTGGAAGCAGCAGATGTTCTGTGCATTTTGCTTCTGCTTGGTATACTTGTCATTAGAAACACTTGTTTGATATCTTAAAGAGTGCTTTCACTTATAATAGAATACGATTATACTGTGAAAATTCCGAGGTGAGCGAAAAGTATTAGTACTTTTCAGAAAAATTGCCTTTTCTTTATTTTAACAAATCTGGAAACACTCAAAGTTAGGCATCTAGCCCTAGCTATAAGGTAAATATATATGCTCGTGCGACAGAGAAGATTTTCTTTTCCGCAGGTCGCAAAGAACTGCTGAAGTTTTTATTCATAAGGAATGTGTACAAAAAACAATTTTTACAATAACTTCAATATTTCACAATTCTTCTTTTCAACATTGTCTTTTCAATTTATCATGATGATCCTTAATATTCTTCATTTTTGCGGCCTAAAGAAAAAAATCTTCTCTGTCATACCAGTCTATATATCTACCTTATATCTAAGGCTAGATGACTAACTTTGAGCGTTTCCAAATTTGCTATAAGAAAGAAAAATCAATTTTTCTCAGAAGTACCAAGACTTTTGGCTCACCCTATATCTGATAAACTGTATAGTGAAATTATTATTGGTGTTTTATGATTATTTTTTCTGTTAATAGTAGCATAAAATTTCTTATTTCAATAATCAATCTTTCTATTTATTTAAAAACAATTACATACAAAGATAAGATATTTTTCTAAATACAACTAAATTTTACCACCA